CCCCCCCCCCCCCCCCCCAGGACAGGATGCTAATCCATCGCAGGGCTGCCTCCCAGCAGTATGTTGCTGGTACCCATTTATAGACCCGGGTACGAGACACAGAACGAAATAAAGTTCTAAGGGAAAAACGCGACGGGCCGGGCTTTGAAATCTGGAGTTCTAGTTGTTAACCGCTCGGCCACATACGTCTCCGCAAACAAAGCGAAAAATATGACATTAAAGGATCAAGTATCAAGAAGAGGAAACTGTCAAAACAAAGAATTTAAATAAAACTTACGAAATCTTCGAATTCCGTTATTTTTTCCTCGAGAAACTCTGTACCAACTTTATCGTCCTCGACTACACAAGAAATTTGTAGTTTCTGTACACCATAGGCTACTGGTACAAACTTGCCTGAAACACACAAAGACAGAGTTTAGACATAAGAGAGATTAAGAATCGCCTTTACAGGGCCGTAGCTTCGGGAGGGGCCGCGGTTTTTTTGCCGCAAAAAGTCAAAACATGCACGCATAAAAGTTGAAAATACAAATTCATCTCCCAGAGCACTGAAACAATGGTGTCTCTGCAGCTAGGTGAAACATTTTCTGGTTTTAAGATACAGAGACCAGTCCAATGGGTCGTCCAGACCCCAAACCCTCTGCTTTTCAAATACAATGAGCTACCTAAAATCTTTGCACCCCCCTAGTTTCTAAAGGTTTGCTTCAGCCCAGCTTTACGACAATAGCCTGCCGGTGTCCACTTCGCGGTAAAGGTAAAGGCGCACACGAACCAAAGGCCGGAGGTTACCCCGGTTTCTTTAGCTTGAAGCATGCACAGGAGTATTGCTACTCCCTCCTGGTTGTGGTAGTGGCGGTGGTGGTTCTGGTAGTGATGATGATGATGATGGTGATGGTGACGCTTATGTATCAGTACAGGTACTTACTTGATCCCCAAAGAAGACCATCGCATGTGATGGAACGTACAGCGGCTTCCATAGCTTTAAGATCTGTAAAATAAAAGAAATATTTAAGATTTGAAGCAGCTTCATTTACACGTCATCGTTCTGGCAATCAATAATTTTTGTAACCATGATATTTATAAGTCTCTGGTAAAAGTGATACCGTATTTTTTTCTTAAATTACTTAGTATGAGTGACTATTATGAGTAAGCTGCTCTTAATCCTCCAAGCACTAAGAAAGAATCAGCATCAAAATTCTCCTTGTGATATAAATGCTTTTATAAAACACATCAGTGACGACAATAAAGGACATCATCACACAAGATAAATCTGGTTTATACTTCAACAATTACTTCTCCCCTCTACTTCTATAGGAAATGTATAGGGACAACAAATGAGAATTTGAATTTTGATAGCAGAGTTCACCTTCATGTAAATTCTCATCAACTTACCTGTTTCATCATCCCACTGAGGAGAAAAAATGGAAAATGAAAAATAGATGCAAGTCAGTATAATAATAATAATAATAATAATAATAATAATAATAATAATAACATAATAATTATGTTATTATATATAGCGCTAACTCCACTAATTGACCAAAGCGCTTTACAATTCATAACATTAAAATGATTAAAAAGATCCCACTGGTAATAAAATATGAATAAATTAAAAACCTATTTGCAGTCTTATTTATAAAAATATCACAATAAATCCTATTCAAAATTATCAAAAAGTTAAACATTATATGCTTTTTTAAAAAGATCGGTCTTTAAGTGTTTCTTGAATAAATTAATTGTATCTAAACTTCTAAGATCTAATGGCAGCTCGTTCCAGAGTTTAGGTGCAGCAA